AGGTTACCAGACATCCCCATTTCCCAGGGTCAGTTCCCGGATTTACACATCAGGCCCCATACAAAATCCATTGAAGTTGAAAAGTGTCCCCGGATTCATTGAAAAAAATATGGTAACCTTAGATTCATATAGCTCAAGAAGGTATCTCACCCCCACGGACCAGAGCATGCCAGGCACTCCTGTCTTCCACTGCCTCCCACAGTTTGGTCAAACTCATGTTTGTAGCTTTGAGAACACTGTCCAACCATCTCGTCCTCTTTCCCAACATCAGGGTCTTTTCCAGGGAGTCTTCTCTTCTCATGAGGTGGCCAAAGTATTGGAGCCTCAGCTTGCGCTAATTACACACACATACACACACTAGTCCCTCCCATAAGATTTATAGTGCACCATGTCAGATCATATGGAGATGCCTGCTTTAAAGCTATCAAGGCACAGCATTCGCTACCCCTTGGCTTTTGGTTTTTGCCTTTTAAGCCCTGTAACTGCAGACACTCCTTAATATGAATATGTGATTGGTGTGTAGGTAAGAGGAGCATAAGAAGAGTCCTAGAGGATCAGGTCCATGGTTCATCTAGTCCAACATCCTGATCTTACAGTGGCCACACAGATGTTTCTGTGAAGCCCACAAGCAGAACCTGAGTGCACTTTTCAATTGTAATTCCCAGCAGCTGGTATTTTGAAACATGCTGCCTCTGACTGTAGAGACAGATTACAACCATTGTGGCAAGTAGCCATTGGTAGTGTTATCCTCCATGCATTTGTCTAGTTGTCTTTTCAATTGCTATCAACTGCCACTTATGGGAGGAAATGCCATAGTTTATATACTTTTGCTGGGAATTATTACGTGGAAAGAGTCTTTTTGCACTCCCATAGTTATCTGGTTAAAGGGACACAGGTGGTGCTGTGGGTTAAACCACAGAGCCTAGGACTTGCCGATCAGAAGGTCGGCGGTTCAAATCCCCATGACAGGGTGAGCTCCTGTTGCTCGGTCCCTGCTCCTCCCAACCTAGCAGTTTGAAAGCACGTCAAAGTGCAAGTACCTCCAGCGGGAAGGTAAACGGCGTTTCCGTGCACTGCTCTGGTTCGCCAGAAGCGGCTTAGTCATGCTGGCCACATGACCTGGAAGCTGTACGTTGGCTCCCTCAGCCAGTAAAGCGAGATGAGCGCCGCAACCCCAGAGTCGGTCACGACTAGACCTAATGGTCAGGGGTCCCTTTACCTTTACCTTAGTTATCTGGTTGGCCAGTATGAGAACAGGATGCTGGGCTAGATGATTATTTGGCATGATCCTCCAAGGCTCTTTTGTGGGTGAGTGACTCACAAGAGGATCCCATAACTTAGCCATGTGTTTATTGGCAACGTATGGGAGCCTTGTGGGCTCCTGCCCTTGATTTGCCAGCATACTCTGTTTGGGGATGAAAAGTCTAGGAAAGGGAAACCACACCATCTTAGGCCTTGGAATATTGAGCCCTAGCTAACAGTCTTAAGCTTTCACTCAGGATTCCAGTGGGGTACATATCCTTCCTCTGATCCTGCAGCTCTTTGTGAAATGGTGGGGGTTAGAAAATGAGATTTCCGTGGCAATACAAAACTTTCATTTCAGCGCCACTACATTCTACTCTACTTAATGGGGCATCATAGAAGCAAAGTAATGTTTTCCCCACATCTTCCAAGCCAACTTTTTAATACTATGAGAAAATGCCATAATTCCAGCAAATATCTTATCTTTGGGAACATAAACACCATAGTAAAATAGGGCTGATGGACAATTTATTAGCCCATGAAAAAAGGACATTGAGAACAGCAGCCCAACTTGACATTAATTCTGGTCCAACTTACACCCACTACAAATATGTATTAAAAAAGTGATTGAAATAAATTAAGTGTAATCCATTATTTGTGTCTAATAATAATGAATGAGTGCACATTCTAATTAAAATATTCTAATAGGAATCACTGAAATTGGGAGATAGGGCATAATAGCCATGTCACGCCGTTATGTTATAAATGCTATATCAGGCATAAATTACGTAAACTTTAAATGTGACACATCTCGATTTTACTGCCTTATTTCAACAAGACCTTTGATTAAATAATGTATCTATGAAGTAGAACTCAGTAATAGCTAGTAAATTATGCACATTTATATTTTGCTCCCTATCCGGTGTTTTCCTATGAATAATAATAATAATAAAACCCTGAAAACTTTCCTGAAGTTCTAGACACCGTATTTTCATTAGCCAGTTCCAGGCACACTCAGTCCTCCTTCCTCAAAACAGCAAGTGCAGAATTATTTGTATGTACAAGTACAGTCCTTGCTTTAAAGTGTCAGTTTGCAAAGTGTTTCGTGTTTTCCTTCTTTTTCCTCCAAAAAATAAGCTGGTGTAAAAGTAATGTAATAAGGTATAAACCAAACAAGTCTGGTTTGAACCCCAACCCCTTCCTCAAAATGAAGTTTTCACTTTGATTGGACACTTTCAAATGACTATGCAAAGTACCAATGAAATTAAAGTGTACCAGTGATCCATAGCTGTCAACTTTTCCCTTTTCTTGCGAGGAATCCTACTCGGAATAAGGGGATTTCCTTTTTTAAAAAGGGGAAACCTTGACAGCTATGCAGTGATCCTGTTGAGAAATGTCAACAAAGAGAGTTCAAACAAGGCTCACTCAAGATAACCTGTTTATTGAGCATTCATCCAATGAATTTCCCCATCACTTTCCTTATTGCAATAAGTCCAGTATATTAGATGGGTTTCTTGTAAAAGAGTGCCAAATAAACTCTAATTGCTCAACTTGTGTTCGCCAGGTTGTGAATGAATCCAACCCAAAAAATAGCCAGTCAGAAAGTGCCCAAGGCGAAGGGTGGGAAGTCTTAATAGAGAAGTAACAAGGACAGAGTACAGAGGTTTAACACTGCCCCTCCAAATATTGTTAGCATCAGAATGGAGTTTCCCTGTGGAAGAAGTCTAAAGGATTAAGACAGAAAAGTAGATGTGAAGAATGCGTCTAGACTGGAGGAAGAAAGCCCTCAAACTTGCTGGGGAAAGTTGACAGCAGGGGTGTTTCTTTTTTTCCTCTGGTGAAGAACTCCACAGGGATATTTACTGCAGGAAAAGCTAGCAGATACATAATCAATACTCCAGTACATTGCCTTCTTGTGATAAAAATTTTATAGCAGAGGAGAGATTCTCTTCTTAAATGTAAATGGCTTTAACGATGGAAACATGACTCAGACATTGATCCTTCACAGCCCACATCAAGTCTGGATCACCCTGGAACAAGCTTATATCTCTGTTAAGTGCAATGGTACATGCAGCATCGTTCCAATGCTTTGATAGTTGTTGTTGTTTTTCCCCCAGCTGTATTGTGCCCCCCCCAAAAAAAACCACACACACCACTTTCTGAGAAATGTATCTACCACAACTGGACCCAATGTTTTGCCAATATGTAGTGAAATGATTCAGGTAACCAACCACCAATATTAATTCATGTAAATTATGCACAACATGGGTGAGGTATAGTTTTCTGCTTGAGGACTACATTTCCTTCTGGGAAGCTTTCCAGGGGCCATGCACCAGTGGTGGGTAGAGCCAGAGACAACAGTGGGTGGAGCAACAAATGTAAATTTAACCTTTGCACAGTAGGCTAGTTTTCACACATGCTCACTCTCTCTCTCTCTCTCTTTCTCTCTCTCACAAAGACTCTCCTCCCTGGAAGAGAGGGGAGTGGTTGTGGGCGGGAGCCCGAGCACCGCCCCTAGCAGGGGGCGGTTGCCCCCTGCCTCCACCTCACCTGGCTGGCGCCCACGCCCCCTCTGCAGGCATCCAACCAGGTGCCTCGGAGGGGGCGTGTTCAGCAGCCTTATGCTGCGGTGCCAGCCTCTCCCTGGCCTCATTCTTCGCCGTCGTCTCGTCGCGAGTCACCCACCCTCCACTCCCTTAGAGTTAGGGCTTAGGTCATTGGCCTTGCTATGGACCTTAGGTTGGTCGCCCTGGTTGTCCAGGGGCCTGGTAGGAGTTTTTCCATTTGGCATTAGGCTTTTTGGTTTTTCGCCTACCTCGTAGCAATCGTCACAACTTTTGTGGTATTGGTGGGTAGGTTAGGCATTGGAATAATGTGTTGTGGTGTGTCGAAGGGCTAGGTGTGGCCATCGCCTATGCCTTCAATTTTTGGGTATTCCGTTAAAGGAATCTGGCGGTCGTGTGTTCTGTCCGATGCCTGCTTGGCGGGAGGCCATGGCACGACCCTCGGTGACATCAGGGGGGAGCCTATAGTTGGATTAGCATCAACAGGCTCCACCTACTGGTGAATAAACCCACGTGTTTTAGAGATCCAATGCCTAAGCCAATACCTTTTCACTGCTGTAATCAATAAAGTTGTGGCCTTTCCATGCCCATTAACCTTATATCACGTGTCCTTGTGTATTCATTTCACATCGCGGGGGTCGGGTCCTCGAACCACAAACACACACACAGCCCTCTCTAGTCTCCATCCAGGCAAGCAAGAGGAAATATCCAAGGACATGTTCCAGGAAGGCAAAACACTCAAGCAGGATGTGTAGCAAGGCCAGTGAAGGATATGACCTGGGGAGAATCCAAAGGGGTAGATAGAAAGGGCCTTGATGGAAGCTACGTAACTAATCACCTGACTCCTTAGCTAGGCAGGCCATGAACAGAGTTTCTAGTTTTAGCCACGCTGCACCTGGCACGTGGTGGTTCCATATTGGATATGTTTCTCTCTTTCTTTTTTTGCATTAGGTCTATTATGCTTGTTTTATATATCAAGCGCCTTTGGATTTATTTAATAAAAAACAGTGGAAAATAAGAGGGAATGGAGGAGCTAATAAGGATGTTTAGGAAAACCTCATTCAAATTTCTGACTGGATCTTGGAGTTCCAAAAACATAGGAAGAGAGTATGATGCCTTATACCAACTCAGCCACCTAGGTCCATCTAGTTCAGTATTGTCTGCACTGCCTGGGAGGACATTCTTAAACTTACCTGGAGATGCCAGGAATCAAACCTGAAATCTTCTGCATGCACAGCAAGTGCTGTACCACTGAACTACAGCCTGGGGTTGGACACAGACTTAAGTGATGCCATGAAAATCAATTCATTAAAAAATAATAATCAGTGAGACTTGTTATCAGTGGGTCTATTCTAAGCATCCAAAGCTGTGTTTCTTCTGAATATATTAGGATTTTTTCCACTGTTGCTTTTTTTTTAACTATATAAACAAATACTTCACTCAAATAACTCCAAATTGTGTACAGGGGTTTGTTTGCTTCTGTCCAAAGAACCATAAGCTTGCTAGAGCTGTGCTTGTAATTTATAATGGCCATGTGGTGAGAGTAACATTATTGATCCATGGAATTTCACCATCCTTCTCTGTGGTGGTCCCCTGGTTTGGAATGGCATCCCCTCCAAGGTGTATCTTGGCTGTCATGGTATGATATTTGATGACTGGTCAGGACTAGGGATGGGGAGAAATTCAATTCAGTTCACACTTAAAGGTGCAATGCACAACAGTGCACAAACAAAAACAGAGGCATCCTTTGAAATTCACACTTCTTCAGTTTTGCAATGCAGTTCTCCAACCAAGCGATATGTACAAAAATGAATGTATTAGGGTAACGTGTGCATTTTAAAAATGCAAATATTAGTGAAAATAACATACAAAAGTCCTGTATATTAGGGGGAAATGCATAGGGAAAAATGTTTAAAAATGTGTAAAGCACATTGAAATGCGAACACACACACACACACACACACAGAAACACATTTCTATATGGAAACTGATGTGGAAATGCAGAGAACTGAACTCAAGACTGGGGAAAAATGAGAAACAGAGAGAAACCAGAATTGACAGATATGCTTATCTCAAGTCAAGATGCACTTTTTTGCTCTGAGCTTTGCTTGAGTGGGGCGTTGTGCTGAACCACTGTTCTGCATAGTTGTTTTGTGAACTTCGTTACTGATTATTTTTCTGGTTTTATATTATTATTCTAATGCAATTTGTGCTTGTTTCAATCATGATGCTTTTGCAACCTGCCTTGAGACCAGTTGTTGAAGCATAGGCTACAACTTCAAAACATTAAATATTGTGACACATGCTCCCCCCCCATCTCTGCTTAGCAGTAGCAAGAGATTCCAGGGGTCTTGGCACTTAACCAGTGTTTGTATTCCCTTGGGGAAAATGTGGCACAAGAGAGACTAGTATCATAATGAAATATGGCTTATTCACATATCTTTACACCTGAATTTCATGGAGAGAGTTCACAGCATTTACATCCCAAAAGGGGCTTGTCCTTCCCAGCAGCACAACACTGTATTCAGAGGCACCATAGGTTCCATCACCTTGACTCTCCATAACAGCTAGTTCCAGCCAGCCAGGATGTCTGTTGCCTTTCAGGCCCCACTTCGAGTTCTGCCCACTTCCTGTTCCTTCTTCCCAGAAAACCCCTGCTCCCAAAACCTCTGTTGTAAAAGGACAATCCTGCAGTGGCATCATTCTCCCCGTTATCCTGGAAACCTCCCTCCGTGAGTTCCATTGAGGAGCTACTGGATGACCATCAGCACCATTGTTTCTTCAGTGACCCACCTTCACCAGGCTGGCCTCATTAGGAAGTTAGCTGGTGCTACTCTCAGCCCATGCTAAAGTCAGGACTGAATGGATTTGTTCAAATTCCGACCCTTTAATGAATGTAGAGATTATGGGTTTGTGTGTGTGTGTGTTATTTCTCTCTCTCTCTCTCTCTCTCTCTCTCTCTCTCTCTCCCTCCCTCTCTCTCTCTCTCTCTCTCTGTCACACACACACACACACAGGCACAGAGTTCCATAAGTATACTGCACCAAAAGAAGATTTGTGTCTGGAAAGTGAATAAGAAATGAATCCCCTGTGGCGAGCACTATTAACAAGTTTCATTGTATTTCATTGATCCTGTGAAATTTTATGAGTGACAACAGCAGCTTCATAATATTGTGCAGCAACTTCCATCTCAGAGGATGCACTGTAATAAATGCACTTGCAAGAGCAGATATACAGACTTTTAAGTCGGGAATCACTTAATCCATCATGGGTCCTGCGTGTGGGGTGAAAGCATAGTTTACTATAGCAATGTGCTCCACAAAGGAGGGGAGAACTATGCAGCCTTCCAGTAATTTCACAATCTAACTAAATTTGGGGAATGGATCACAGCTCCACAGCAGAGGAGTAGAGACTAACCTATTCAGGCTGCAATCATGTACATATTTATTAGGGAGTAATCCCCATGAAATTCAGTGGGGCTTATTTCTGAGTAACATATTGTTCAATTGACACGAACCAAGTCTAGAAACAGTGACAGCAATTTTTAACCAAGGTATATCACTTAGACAACTGCAGCGCTTGAGTGCTCACCATTTCATTGCAAAGGAGAGAATCAAAACAGGTGGAGGTAACACAACACTTCACCCAGCAGAAAAGCAACTGTGACAGCATGGACTCCTAATGAACCAAACTAAAACACTTTTCAGTTTTGTTAGGTGCTAAGATTGTACACAACTGCAGTGGTTAAGTGTCCACAGTATATTTGCAAAGGTGGATAGGCAGAAAAAGAGAACTGGCCACATCTCTGTGACCTCATTAGCCACACCCCCATGACTCTCTTAACAGTCCTGCCAGGTCAAGTGAACATCAACAGGAACTGAATAAATCAGAGGAACATAGGAAACTGTTTTCCACTGAATCAGCTCATTGGTCCATCAAGCTCAGTCATATCTACACGGACTGGCAGCAGGGTTTCAGACAGGTTTCTCTCCTAGCCCTACCTAGATAAGATGAAGGTTGAACCTGGGACCTTCTGCATGCAAAACAGGTGGTCTACCACAAAGTTATGGAATACAGCAAGCTGCCCTATGCAGGGTCAATTCATTAATCCCTAGGATTTCAGACAAGAGTCTCTGGCAGCCCTACCTGAAGAAGATGCAGAACCTGTGGCCTTCTGTGTACAAAGCAGATGCTCTATCACTGAAACACAGCCCTTTCCAAAATCAAGGGTGGGTTCCACAAATACCCAACTTTGCTCAATGTTTATGCCTATAATGGGTGTGGATTTTCTATTGTAGTTGGTAAAGGGAATAAAATCTTTGCACATGGACAGTGGTACTCTTGATTCGAAATTGCACATTGTCAAACATTTCTATAGTGACTGAGAAGAACTTTGTTTGGTCCACATCTTAAAGTGGACTGTCCTGATCTGCAGCTTTTGCACTAGTGTGGAGATAGAAATGTAACTATGTTTCACATTTTGCACTTTTCCAAACATTATGTTACAGCTCTCAGTTGAAAAGATACACCAACATTTATCATTACCATTCTAATATTGTATTTAAGTACACTGCTTAGAGACTATTGTAGTTCAGTGACACAGAAACTCTTTAAATAAAATAAATAATAAAACCCACTCAAGCAAAATTGATAAAATGCATCGAGACATTTATACAGTGTGGTCACATATTTGAATATGTATTTTGTTATAAAATGTGCATTTAAACAGATACCTGTTAAGTAACAAACTCTATAATTCTATGATTCTTAACTACCTATTTAAATTTTTGTATGTCCCCCCCCCAAACAAACATATCATAAATGGGAAAAATAGGATGGAAGAGTCTCATGATTGACACAGACTGGAACTAGACTGACCCTTACATCCCAGGAGATCAGGTCCAGTTTTCCAAAGACATACAAGCCCTCATTATTAACACATCTACTAGAGAAGACAAGGTTGTGGTTTCGGAGGCTCCTGACTCAGCCTAAACTGAGTTGCCTATTATAACTTCAGCTTAAATATCTCCTAAATAGACTCTAAGTTGAGCCAACAGTGCAGGTTTAACAGTTCCATTATATCCTGTGAAATCAATTCCAGGGGAGCCCAAGTATAAATAGCTGAAGCGCAGATGAAGTATGACAGAGTGAAGAGCCACAGCTGTCCCTGACTCGAGGCGGAACATTCCTTAACATATTTCAATGGAAAGCAGAATGCAGCTCAACAACATATGCTCATGATTATTTTGGACAACCTGATAGCATTTCTCTTCTCAGAGTTGTGGCTGCACCAGTCGGTGAATTGAAGCAGAACACCTGTGAATTGGCAGTGCATATTTCTTATAGCTAATGCACCGGTGACATATTCAAGGCCATGGTTTCAACTGGGGCCCTCTTCTGAGGCTGTTCAGTTTTAGGAACATACAAAGCTGCCTTATGCCTAGTCAGACCATTGATCCATCCAGCTTGGTACCGTCTACACGGACTGGCAGAAGCTCTCCAGGGTTTCAAACAGGGTTCTCAGCCATTGTAGACAATACTGAGCTTGATAGACCAATAGTCTGACTCACTTTGAGGTAGTTCCCCCTCTGGGTGGAATTCAACGCCACATTCTTCTTATTTTTCCATCGGTGCAAGCATTTCTCCTTGCCAAATAGAATGGTCTTCTGCACACTATTCTGGGGGGGTTCTCTTGACCCTCCAGAGCAGATTTGGGGGAAATGTGGGGGAGAAGGGGGGAGTCCTATTGCACTAATGGGAGCCGTGACAGTTGTTTGTGCTAGCCCACCAGGTCAGCTGTATCAGGGCCTACCTTTCTATGTTACACTGAAAGCTTTAGAATTGCATTTCATATACTGACAATTAGATTTGAAATGAATAGGTTATTTTAGTCATAATTAGTCTTTCAGATCCCCCCCATTACATTTTTTTTTTTTGTTTAGTAAATTCCATATTATCATACGCACACACACACACTGACGAAAACTCTCTCAGGAATGTTCATTAGGAAGTGCAGAGATTCTGTCCACACTCTTCTGTAATAAATGTAAGGTTCATTAATATTCAAGGAAACTTGAATATTAACCAATACATTTTGGCTACAAACATGTCAATAGGGTTCTTTTTGGTTTGCTTGTTTCAAGATCCAGAAGCCTCTTGTAAAATATTACAGCTACTCTGCTGTAGCAATATGGCAGCATCCTTGACTACATTTACGAGGCTCTTGCCTGGATGAAACAATAGTCCTAGGTAAATAAAACTTT